AGCGGTGGTTGGAATCTATGTATCATTTGGGTTTCCACCCTATGCTGAGAGAAGGGCCCCTTTACTACCAGTTCTAATCTTCTTGTACAGTTCCCTCATTATCTTTCAGTCTGATTGGTAACCTCAGTCAGTTTCAGACCACTGGCAAAGTGCTTTGAAAGGGAAATCAAAGAACACTGCGTTCTCCCATACAAGCTGCCTGATGTCTCCTTTAACCTCTCCTCAGTAACCCTGGCACCCCGTCTGCACTCGGCTCTTACTTCCATGTTGGCCACATTCATCCCTCATCCTTTCTTTTGTCTTTTTCACAGACATCAGACATGTGACAGTCACATGTCTGATGTCTATCAGGGTTACCATATCTAAAAGACTTGCCTCCACTTATTTAGAGATCATTAATCATTGTGCGTAGGACAGGAGGCCCCTTAATCCAGCCAGTCCTTCCTTCCCCCGGTCTCACCAAGCAAGCAGGCCACAGTGCGGCCCTCCAACCCTATCCCCCATGGTGTTATCAAGTTTCAGCGGTTGTAACTGTAGCACAATAAACAGAGAGGGGAGGAGAATTCAGTGGGTGCAAAGGAAGAGGACGGGAATGAAAAGAAAGAAAAGAGAGGACATAATGTCATTTCCTCTTTCTATTTTATTGGTGGATTCTGTGTAAAACATGCTTCACAGGCTTTAAAAAGCAGCATCTATTAGGAGAAGATCTGTCATGATTCAGATTATAAATGTAATAGGAAAACAAGGTTATCACAAAATTATGAATGAAAACTTTTACATCTACAGCCTTTTACCTGCCAAATCAATTAGCAGGATTCTAGTTCTGCCCCTACACCTCACCACCGCCACCACCACCTGAAAAAAAAAAATCCTTTTAACTATAACCCAACACTTCATCTGAAATGGACAAATATGCTCACAAAACCTTGGGCTTTGTTGTTAAACCAACCAGGTGCTGCCACTTTCCAGAAGTTGTGGGGTGTTAACTAAAGGAAAACGAGTCCATATCACAGAGCCAGAGAATGTTCCTATTGTGGTGTGGTGTTTGTACAGAGGGGCTGCCTGTTACGAGGGCCAGTGTGAGGCTGACCAGGGGAGTAATATAATGCATACGTGGATCCCCCAGAGCCCATTCATGCTGTAATTGGTGTGGACAGAGCACTCGGTCTCTGGGTTACAGTTGGGGAACTTCCTCTAATGTCCTGCTGGGAGGCCACTGTTCCCACACCACAAATACTTCAAATAAAATCCATCTAAACCTTGGAGCAAAAAATGCTGTGCTTTGTAAAAGGTAATACAAAGGCATGTTTAACATTTGTTTTTTAGTCAAAAAAAATTGAGTGTAAAGGAATATGCAAATAATGCTATGTCACTAAATTGCTGACTTGCTCTGTTTTGATCAAAATCCCTTTAGTGCCATTTTTCTGTCTCCTGCAGCAAATTCTGGGAGCTTCAAAGGAACAAACACTGCTCTCCTCGTGCAATTCACTGTGGAGCTACAGCTAAATAAGAACCCTTCATTTCATTCTATAAATCTTCCCCTAGCCACAACATCAGAACTATAATTTAATCACACAGACAAGTCCTGCTTACCACTTTATTACTATTAACAGAGCTAAATCTGGGATTTTCCTCTAAAATAACTCTAAAGCTGTGATAGCACAGCATGTGGTCCCTCTTAAGCTGAAGCTACACTTCCAATTAAGAGTGTCACACTGAGATGGATCTTGATCTCTGACCACGATGTGTGTGGTTTTCTGGTGAGAGGAGAACGAGTAAAACACTTCGTGGGGCGGGGCAGGGGTTCTCGACTGGTGACTTCACTGAACAGGAGCCTCTCTCTCTCTCCCTCTCTGGCTCTGTCCATCACAGCTCGTGGCCATTAATCATCTCAAGTGGACAGCACTGACAGGCAGTTGGCTGCATCACTCTCTGAGTTTCTTCCCTTTTTTTTTTTTTCTTCATCGAGCAACTGTTGCCTCATTTACTGCCTGCTCCCCCACCTTCTCAAAAGCCCACCTCCTGGTCCAAACCCCCATCCCCAATGACAAAGCGGTCGAGTGTCAAACCAAAACAAACAATCACCCATATGCTTAATCGAAACCTTTGAGGTGGTTAAAAGCATCAAGCCACCGCCAAGCTTTCTTTGCAGCAATTGGGGGTGAGACAGGAAAACCTGTAATGGATGTAATGAACAGTGATGTCACCGTAACTCATCTTGGCTAATATCCTCCACCCGCGCTCTTTCTATGTGAGCAGCCCTAGTGCATTTACATGTACATGTCAGGCCATTAGCTAATGTTTCTACCTGGAGCAAATGACTAATATATACATGAGGGTCTCCAGCTGAATGAGGCTGAGCTCCTTACAAGCAACAAATAGCACAGAGGTCAGTGGTGAAAGCTGGCTGGGTTCAGTAATGGATGTAACAAATATTCCTCTGACCCTACAGTGGTCATCTGTGACAAAAAGAGGCGGGGGGGTTGTATGTGCGTCTTCTGTCATGTCTGTGATTCAAAGCCCATCAATGGGTTCCCTTTACACTCAGACTCTATTTAGGACAGCTGGTAAAATTCCTCAAGCATTAACGCACAGACACGCACACACACAAACACATGTGACTGTTTTTAAGCAGCAGAGGCAGGAAATGCGAATCCCTCGTAAGTTTTCCTTCCGCCGTTTGCTTCCCTCTCAGGGCTCAGAGGCCCCACGCCAAGGTGGGAAAAGCACTTCACCATTTGTCTCACTCTCACCAGAGTTTCCACTGGATTTAACTTAACCTCACACTCTGCCTCATTTTTCAGAGTCCACTTGTAATCTCATTCAATTTAAGAGGTATTTTCCCTTTGCTACGCCCTTCTTAGAAAGTCTCAAATAATGACATTGCATTTAAAGAAAAAAAACAAAACAGGCTTCCTAAGTGCTCTTTAATTACAAAAAATGGACTGCAATAATCTTGACAACATATCTATGAAATGAAATGGAGGGAGGAGCCAATGCACAGAAATTAGAGGGTAGCGTGAATAAGAGCTTAAAGAGGCTTGCTCTTCATCTCATTTACTCTTGGCACTGAGTGTAAAAGAAATCCAGCCAAGCAATGCCCTATGATTAAGACTCCGGCTTGAGGGACAGCATAGGTCAGCCAAGTGGCTCCTGACTTAAGGGAGGGGTGAAGACGGCACTCTAGTCTAGCTGAAATTATACCCTCTCTTGTACAATGGTTTCATCAAGTCTCTAATGTCATATCCTGCATCTATATTTAAAGCACTGTGCAGCCATGGATATTTAGATTTCAACTTTGCACTTGTAACTGTAAAATAAAACTATTCAAATAAATAATACTTTTTAATCTCACAATATCTTTCCTTTGTCTTTTGCAGTATCTTTCTCTTGTAGATGAGCACTCTGGAAATTTAGTGATAACTGCAACAACTAGCACTGACTCTTGGACTCAATATTGATCACCTGTATTAATGTTGACATGGGAACCTGAAACGCGTAAGCCGATTCCAGTTACACTCACGATAATTCTCTTTGGAAATGTAATTCCGTTAAACAAGTTAAACACCAAAGAGTTACCAGGACTGTGCTTCGTCCTAATTTACTTTATGGCAATATAATTTACAAGTTACATGTTAATTTGTTTGTTTTAAATCAGTGTTATTATTCACTCAATGTTTGTGCTGACTCGTTTCAAACTGCATGAAAAATAATGTGACACTGTAATCAGCTAGTTATCTGTTGTCAGGTGGCGATTTAGTCAGCTTGATGGATTTCTCCATCTGACCAGCGTGAGTAAAGGGTCAGGCAGCCACTCCCAGCGTCTGCCACTGGACAGAGATGCTAACAGGGCCTTGACAGATCCCGTCCCTCCCTCTCCTACTCGGCTTAATTCATCACCCACCAAACAAGGCCTCTGGGTGGTAAGACCTAACCAGTCTCTCAGAAGCTGCTGCTCTCGTGCACCTTAAACACACATATGCAAGTACATACACATAGGTGTCGATGCACACGGGCCCATTTACCCAAAAAAATAATAATTGCACAAAGCGATCATCTGTCAGTCCAACAAAACAAACTATGCATCAAATAAAGTTTCACTCATGTACGGTACCCACCACTGAAGCCTGTAGCAAAACATATTGAAGTGAACCACACACACACACACACTCACAGATTATCATCACCTATCACAGCCTGCCAAAACATAATGTGAAGTATGCACCACTGTAATAACATTGTGATTCACCTTGGGAGGTATTGCTCAAGCAGTGTAATTTGCTTTGCAATAGGTTTGTCTGATAAAAGCCTAAGTGCATTAGCAGCCCTGGTCAGACAGGTCTCGTAAGCAGTGTCAAAGCAGCACAAAGTCAGCTGATCCATGAAGCCTGCTGGCCAACTAAGCTAGGCCACTGCCAGATCCACTTGACTCTGATGCTACAGAAACACAGGATCAGCTGAGGCAGATCTTACCTGCTGATACCTTATGGCCTTTATGCTTGAGAGGGGAATTAATGAAGTATTTCTCAGCCAGTGTGTGAGTTGTTTAGTGACAAAACATGTTTCACTGGCATCAGACAAGGAGTTACATTCTGTATGTACTTTCATCCTCGTTGATTTTGTATGGCTTCTAGCAATTGTATGAAGAAGTAATCTATTTGTGCTGCAGGTGTGACATTGCTCAATCAACACTGAAATTCCAGGTGCTCTCTAAAAAAAGAAATTAACTTTAGTGACACATCTGTGGCAATTCCCATAGAGTCACACTGAAAGTTAACATTTAAAGCACCCTACATGTTTTGAGAGTAGGAATGCAACAATATAATAATTTCCATCTCAGAAAATATTATAACTTTGAAGTATAATGATGATAACTTGTAGTCTTCCTTAAAGTCTAAAAGTTATCTAGGTCCCGAATAAACCTCCAATTCAATGCTCCATCCAGTACAAGCCAAGCCACAGGATCTGATATTAGTAAAATAATATTTTTGTATGCTTACCTCTTTTTTGCATGAAGGCAAAGAGATCATCCAAAAACTCTTTTCTTTTTGGGTCATTATCAAGCTCATACAGCTGTAAAGAAAAATAGAAAGTTATTGGGGTACTGTTTGCTTAAAGTAGAGCTGTGTGGCTGCTCAGCCACAATGTCTACTCAATTCAATTTTATATATAGCACCAAATCACAACAACAGTCGCCTCAAAGTGCTTAAGTATACAGTTTATTGTCCAGTGCTTAATCCTGAATGTCTGTATTTTCTCTACTGCTCTTTTTAATGTTAGACTGTATGATGATAGTTCATAATAGGATTGCAAAACGTTGTAATTGCACCATTGTTATGACTCATATACTCTATACATAATGTTTGTCTGGAAGACATTTGTTCTTTTTTCTCCCTGAAATGTTCTTTTTAGAACAGATGCTTTCATCTCACTTAACCACAAAACATACATGTCAGCAGCTAACTGTTATCTTTGAGGTGTGCACAGATGAATCTTTCAGGCTTCGACACTTTTAGTTCTTTGAAGCTGGCTTAGAGTTTCAGGAACACATAGATCCTGCATTTTTAGAGTTCTGCAATTGTATAATACTTCAAAAGGTTGACCTATATACACATGTCCCACATGTGCTACTGAAATGAGAATGTATGTTATCACATAACTGTCATAAAGGGCTCCTTTTGCTACTTTTGTAACAAAACTTTTGGGATTTTATTTGTTTTTTTCCTTGATTTTGTTTTTCACCTTAGCAAAGTCTCTGGAGGCCTCTCCTCTTCCTCTGCTGCTGTCAGCCTCATCTGCCCATCCTGCACTGCCATTCTGCAACAAATGAGAGTAAATACAGATGAGGTCAGTAAAAAAACGAAACAAACAAATAAGCAGGTTTTCACACATCAGCTCTGGATAACTTTAGGTAATTCAAGTTTTGACACAAAACAGGAGACGGTCTGCTTCAGATGCATTCTAACTACTGAAATATACAAATTACTGAAAATACTACTGAAAATGCTCCATTTGGGTGAGTTGGGAAGTTGGCTGCGTAGAGCAAACTTAGAAATTAGCTGCACTAATTTCAGGTGGGCAGAAGTAGGTAATGTCTGATTTGACAATCCCAAACAGGCACATTGTTAACTGCATCTCCACTGGGAAATTTCGACAAAATGTTAAGGCTCCAGTCTGTGGGTGCTGAATCAGCTGAGGAGACGACCCTCTCTGTGTTGGACTCAAACCCTTGCCAAGGAGTCCATAACATAAAGAACTTTGCCGTAAAAGTGAATGCTTCCCATTGAACCCACATTCTTCCAGTTTAACATTTGTTTAATCAAGCAAAAACATATACTGCAACACTAATGTATATACAAATTTATTATTTTTAGAAAACTGACTCATTTCCATGAAAAAAAAAATGTATTCATCTGTTGTTACACCAAACATTTATTAAGTTAAGCCTGAATTCCCTTCAAATAGTTTGCAACAAGCTTTAAAAGTGGCGCATTCGCTAAGCTAGATAGGACAAAGTACAATCTGCAATACACACTTATCAAAACAAATATATACTCAAAGACTAAGGGTGCATAGTCCAGGGGTTGAAGTAGTAACCTCTGGAGTTATGGTACCTCTGAGCTCCTAAATCCCCCCTCCCCCTTCATCCTCAAACATCTCCATTTGACCTAAACCATCTGCATCTGGGCCTGCCCTGCCCCCAACAATGTCTTCCGACCCAGCTGGATACAAGGGCCCCCCATCCTTCAATCTTAACGCAGCTGTGACGGGTGGCCAAGTTCATGGAGTGTAGATGGCAGTCAGGAGGGGCCAGAGAAGGGTGGGCTGGTCAGCAGCCTTGGCGCCCACACATACACACACACACATACACACACACACACGCAAAAGCTGATCAAGGCTATGTGTATGTTTGTGAGTGCAGGAAGGGGGGGCCAATGGCCCCACAAGACGGGAAGGAAGGAAAATAAGGGCAGAAAGGGGTGCACGGTATGTGCCGACCAGGAATGTCTCCTAAAGACAAAACCTATAAAAGCATCAGGAATCAAAACAAGATCCGTTTGGAGGGGGACGTTAATAGCTGCAGCCTGGAGTCTAGTTTCAACCAGGAGCCCATTGGTCAGTGGCAATTACAGGGCCTGAAACAAGAGCCAGGGGGGCAAAGGTTGTCAAGGCCCCTGAGAGCAAGTCATTTTCACCCTCTCACTCTCAGTATGTGTAACGGTTGTCAACAATTGCTCCCTATACAAATACCATCAGCCATCAAGTTGAAAACCTACTGCAAATGGTGGGTTTCAAGGCAAAAGCATGAAGACAAAATGAGACATCTGCTATTTAGAAGGGCAAACATGGTCTGCACCACACCACAAGCACAAACTATCCAATGCTGTAATGCTGTTAAAAGGGGCAATGACGACATGTGATAAAATGTTTTCTTTTCCTTGAGCAACCATAAAAGGGTTTGTTCGAAAATGCTTCCCCTGTGTAAAAAACGTATAGTTCTAAAGTTCAATGTTCAAAACTTAAAAAAAAAAAAAAATCAACACTACGTTATCCTACTGGACTTCACAGACTGTGAAGTGTTGTATTGAAAATGTGTGCACAACAAAACCTTTTTCATCATCAAAAACAGCTTCCTATATTATACAATCTCTTATATGTGATCCAGATTAACATATCATGTAAAAGTAAACATAAGTTATGGTACATCTGAAGGGCCTATAGACCTTTGCTCACAATTGACCACGTCTGTTAAACTTTAACCATTATAAATGATTATAAGGGAAGATAATTCACATTGCAGACATATGTAGTTCTACATGGTTAGGAAAAAACTGCTGGCAGCACCTTTTATACAAACAGTATGTTCCCCATTCTGTGACCCCGAGTTCAATATTTCAAGATCAAGATGGTTACGTTTCTGCACTGAGAGGACACAAAGTGTTTGTTTATTGATTCATAGTCCAAAAATTCTTACTATTTAACAGGTGCTCTTATTCAAAGTAAATTATTTTGGGACTTGCAACATTACAATTAGCTCCCAGTTCATCAGTGTTAGATGTTAAAACAAAAAAAGCAGACTGTAGCGTCTGGGTTGCAGGCACGCATACAAACATCACACTTCCCTGAGTGACACTTGTGTCATGGGAGTGCAGGGGTCAAGGTGTTCCTGATGTTAGCCTGGAACAAAGGTCTAAAGTGACAGAACACCAGTGTCCAGTCAATGAAAGGCTTACTGCTATATCCTCACTTGTGAGTACATCTAGTCCCATATCTAAAAGACGAATATAATAATATTAAAGAAAATGCTTTCTACAGTTGACATACTTTTTCTAATCTTTCAGACAATACAACAAGAGGCACCAGATCTTCTATTACTTTGTCTAATTATCTATTCCTCGTTCAGTGAAAGGAGTAACATCTAATATCTAAGAATTTACTAAAGATGTATTTGCAGACCAGTGGTTATTAACATTTCATTCCCACCTAGTTGCCCACACATACACCTTCTCTATGCCTTAGGCCTATTATTCTCACCGCATTGTTCATGTTGCGTGCAAACAGCGACAACAGTGTCGCTTTGTACCATTTATACCAGCGCTGAGGGTGTCAGTACTCTCTGCAGTGTTCTCCTGAATAACCATTGTCAGCAAAAACAAAAACTCCACATCAAAACCTCCACAACAAGAGGTACAGGAAGAGAAGACATCAAAACCAGAAACAACGAAACAGAAATTATTTCCAGAAAGTCTCATCTCGCTGTACAACAGTGTTAATTTCATGGATCAATAATTTTCTGCATATTTTCATGCGAGACAATAACTAAATAAAAACTAATGCAAGAGGATGATAAATACGATGAAATGTACTGGCATTTTCATCAGCAAATAAAAACAAGATGAAAATGCGATTCATTGATCCAATCAGAACTAATTAAGTTGTGTAAAAAGGCAGGAGGAGTTTTGAGGTGATCCAATCAGAAGTAATCTCCTTGTGCAGTAAGGTTAGATGCGCACATTTGAGCTGCTGCCGCAAAGACAGGTAGTGAGGGGGGAGCTCGCATGCTCTCAGTTTCTCATGAAAACGTGACAAAATTTCAAGAATGTCAAGATTTGGGAGGAAGAGAAGAGTAGACACATGGACACGTTCAACATTTGATGTCAAGGAAAATAAGACGCTTTGTAAAACGCGTGGAACAACTCTCCCTGGAAAAAACATGGCAAACTTTTACACTTGAGACTTTAGTGAGCTGAATCAACTTTGGATTTAGTCTGTGATAATCTTATGATAATTAGGCTTATTTCTGACTAAATATCAGAATAAATGTCTAAATTATGACTAAAACTAAATGGCATTTTAGTCAAAAGACTATGACTGAAACTAAAACAAAATTTGCTGTCAAAATGAAAACCGCTGTACATCTGAATCTCTGAGCTTCTGTACTGAAATATCCTTAAAATGGCAGCAAAACTAGTCACTGTTTAAGCAAGGTTTCAAAAACTGAGATGCGTACGAGCGGCCAAAAACACACCAAAGTGCAGCTTATGCCAGTTGATGTAAATTTAACTTTTTGTGGTGTTGTTTGTGAGGCTGAGAACAACGAGCATAAAGGGTAATTACAGTTTCACTGTTGTAAACAAGGGTGAAAGATGAGGAGAAACGTAATAATGTGACTATTTTAAAGTTTATATGTTGTTGTTTTTTGTTTTTAATTTAAAAACACACAATACAAGCACACATTTAAAACCGACACAAACACACACATTAGACTACTGCAACTGTGGAGTGCTTTCCTGCTCTAAACCACGACCTTCAGTTTTTCCTCTTCAGCTGCAATAAAGGAAAAGTAGATTGGCTGATGTGATAAAGAGCAGATGGTGGCCAAGATAAAAACAGTTAACTGCAAACTAACATGTGATTAAACAGACAACGACTTTAAAAGGTATTATCAGTTACTTCAACTAGACATCTTAACCAAAGCCACAACAACTAACTGCCTTCCTGCTAAAACGAAATGTCTGCACCACTTTGCTGGATCAATGTTGATGTTTTTACAATACTTTTTTGGTCTTTAAACCAACAACTTCAAAGTAGAGGCGAAATAAGACATCGTTTTTTGGCTGACAGATAACCATTTCCACATATATTGTCCAATATGTCTGGATATTAATATTTTTTCCATTTTGTCACCAGATTATATTACAGAAGATAAGCACTGATTATATTATAAACTGTCTTCTCACATAATGTATCCATCAGAGTAGCTTTGACTCTAATCTACAGTAGGGATGAATGAAGTGAAAACTGAATGAATGAAACTACTCTTAACTAGGGATGAATGTGGCATGCTGAACAGAAGCCTAAATGTTGCTTCCCTCACTAGTTTTCAACAGAAATACATGATTTTAAGTAGCAATTTGCAATTGAACAGCACCTTTCTATCTGAGCCAGGAAGCTGTAAACAAGCAAGGCGGAAAGTAAGACAGTTCACAGCCATAGAAACAGCATAGCTCATCAGCACTTTGAAAATGAACAGTTGTACCCAGCGTCAGAATCAGCAAGCATACAAGCAAGAAAAAGAAAAAGAAAATAGTAAGGAAAAGAAAGCTACTTCTTGAAGAATGTGATTAATGGTTTGAAATGATTGAAATGATTAACACTATTAAATTAGTCATTGGAAATATTCTAACCCTCAGTGATGCCTGCAGCACACAAACGTACATAGTGACACTCCCCTGTTTTCATGTTAGGTTCCTAATTATTTAAACACTATTGGAAAATGTATTAAAATGTGACATAACAAAAAATGGAAAATAGTG